ATAATGTTGAGGAACTTTACCTCCACCCTCCTTAGGCAGCCCCACTGCTCACTGGAATCATTTCTAGTCCTCTGGTTTATCAGTTTAGCAGTTAGTGATTCACAGTCCCATTCCTGTCCATTTATCCAGTTGGGCACCCTTGGACTTACACCTCTCAGCCCAGAAATTTGAGCTGTGACCATTCATCTATGCGTGCATACAAGCATCACCGCTTCTTGTTTATATCCAGCAACAACTGCTCTATTACAAAAACCGTTGGCTCTTGGTTCTTGGTCTTTCCCTTGTTGTCACTGTCTTAGTATGTTCTTTCAGCATTACATCTCTGACTTTTGATCTCCAACTTCTGGCATCCCTATGAAGACTGGCTTGAATTCACGCTTATGTTTTTGATGTTTGAATCACCACGCAGAGTTCTAGAGAAACACTGCAAGCCTGCACGTTCGGCTGGTAGCTTGATTGACATGCTCACATTCCTACTAAAAGGCATCTTTTTTCACTGCCACAGGGAAACAATGGACATTCTATAGGAGTGTATGATTGTCACCCCTTTTGGAGCAAACCAAAAAGATAGAGTTTCTCATATTGTTAAGAAGGACTTTGTAAAGGTCATGGATGAATCAATATAAATTTGGAGATAAACATTCATATTCTCAGCACTTACTACTTCTTATTATAGAATCTCATAGATTTATAATCTATTCTATAAAATAGTTAAAAACAATTTTTTTTAGACCAGTGCTTCTCAACTAGGAACAATTTTTCCCTTAAGGGACATGGCAATGTCTGGAGATAGTTGGGGTTGCCACAATTGGGAGATGCCCCTGGCATTTAGTGGGTAGAGGCAGGGGTGCCTCCAAACACTCTACAATGCATAGTATCGTTCCCTACAACAAAGAGCTATCCACTCCAAATCATTAATAACGCTGAGGTGAAGAAATGTTGATCTAGATTCTACTCAGCTGCTAGTTCTATGATGGCAGGAAAATTGTGTTTTTGCACACAGAGCTGAACAAATATTTCTAGTTCTTGCCTTCCTGTCATCTCACTGCTTATTTGAGGTTAAGCAGACCATCTGACTTTTGTTAATAAAATACAAGGGAGAGTGAATATTCAAGAATGAGAACACTTAAGAACTGGCCTGATGCTTTATCTTCTCATTTTCTCTTCCTCATAGACCATAAGTTGGTGTTCCAAAAATTGTGGAGGCTTTCTCATCCCACATCAGCCTGAGAAGAATAGCTCTGCAGAGTCATCTGAACTTGCAATGGATTTTGCATGAGTTTGAACTAATTCTTTGTGTTAAACTGCTAAAGTTTTTGAGGTTACTTGTTTCTGCAGCATAAGCTAGCCCATCATCTTGACATTGATCTTTACATCCCAAGCTCCTAGCCTGCCTTCATGGCTGGAAAATTGTTGGCATTTAATAAACACTCACTGAATATTCATGCATTTATACATGTGTGTGTATACACACATACACAAAATTCTAGCTTAGTTCAAATGGCTTAATTAGAACAATCATTTCTCAATTTCTAAGGTGCAAAAGCCACTCTTTAAACTTTTAAATTGTTATTAGAAAATATTTCAAACATAAAAAAACACAAAGAGCAATATTACAGACACCAGTGTACCTCCCACTCAGATTTAATATAGTTTAATATTTTGTTATATATTTCCAGGTATTGTTGTCTTACGGGATTATATATTAGACAAAACTGAAGCTCATTTTTCTTCTGTGAACTTTTACTTTAAATATTTTTAGGCTATGCTGTTACATGCACATCTGTTTGGGATTATATAATGAATTACATAGGAAGACAGTGAGTTATTTCTTTTTTCAGAATGAAATAACTCTCTTCACTCTGGGTAATACTTTTTCTAAGTCCCTTTTGTCTTCTACTAGTATTACTATACATGTGTTCTTTTCGTTAGTAGATTTCTGGCATATGTCTTTCCAGCTCTGTTTTCAAATTTTTTGTTTCATGTTCTGGCTGTATCTATTGTAAAGAAATCAAAGTTCTGTTATTTTTTGTTTCTAATTCTGTCAGTAATTTCTGTCATAACTAGAAAATTAATGTTTATATTTACTCTGACTGATTTAGATTTATTTCTACCATATATTTTTGTGCTGCCTTTGCTTCATTCCATATTCTCCCCTTTTCTGGTAATTTATTGAATTCATAGATTTTAATTTATCCATTTTCCCCCGACTCATTTGCAATAAAAGAATTCACTAATTTTAATGCTTTTTAGCACTTTAATTTAATTTATTTGCATACTTGGGCACAAAGTCTAAAGTTAATAACGTTAATAAAGTTAATAAAGTTAATATTCCTCCTCCCATTTTCATTTTTATGGTTTTCTAGTATTTTAGCACGTCTTGTTTTTAACACTCTGCCCAAAAGGATATTTTCTTGTTATTTTGGACCAACTATACTTATTTGGATTTATTATTATGTTCACCTATGTATTTGAACTTAATTGCTCCTTGCATCTAACTTGTTTGTTACAAATTCAATTTACTTCTTACTGAACTACAACTTTGGAATTTCTTTCAGTAGAGTTCTATGACTGGAAAACAGGGTTTACCTATCTTCATTTCGTATTTAGTACTACATAATATTTAGCTCGGTATAGGATTTTACAATATTTATTTCCCATTGCCGCTCTGAGATAATATTGCAGTAACTTCTAGTTGATAAGAGTCCAGCTGTCAGTCAAATTGACTTTTATTTTTAGTTAACCTGTCTTTTTCTGTTTTTTTAAGACATTATCTTCATTTTAATTTTAGATTTTTAATATGTTTAGCAGTATCAATTGCTCTTCTTAGAATCATGTGTAATTATTATCTGCAAAAGATGTATGCCTTTCTTTAAACAATTTCGGAAAATTATTGGTTACTTTTTTTCTTCATTATCTCTATTTCACTTTGGATATTCTGTCATCATATAAATTGTCTTATCATTCTAAACTCCATTTCTAACTTACCTTTTATAATTATCTTGTTTTTATATCTTTGCAATGCTTTCTGGTAATTTTCTCATGTGTACCTTCCAGGACATTAATAATTCCTTCTTCAAAATTGTCAAATCTGCCACTTAGTTTACCTATTGAGTTTTCAATATCTCTACTACATTTTTTCATTTATAATTATATTTAATTATTTTCTAGTTCTCTAACTGTTTTTCATTTCATCTTTTGCTTTATATTCTAGCTCTTCTCTACCACTTGAATAATTTTAGAAATTATTACTTAGAGCTTCTCTGAGAGAATTCCATTTTATCCAGCTTTCAGGTGTGAATCCTCCTGTCTCTTGTGTTTGCTTTCTCTCCCTCATCGTGGTCTGTTCACATTTGTTGGGTATGTGCTTAACTTAGTTTGGATTGTGTTGTCCTGGAGGATCCCGTGTGCATTGGGTTGTGGAAATGTCCCTATAAAGACATCTGACCTTTGCTTTTGCAGGTGACCCAGCTGTTCTACAGAATTTGGTATAGTTTAAATGTTAATTTTTGCGTTTACATTCACAGCACACAAGCTGTGTAAATTTGGACTTTGTAAGTACAGAGCATAGGTTTGGAAGTGCAATTTCCACCCCTCTTCCCCTTCTCTACTCATACACACTTACAGCCTTGATGGCTATGTAACTTCCTTGCCACTTCCCAGTTTCATGGGTAGAGTGAAATATCCTTTTACAGTGTCCTGGCTTCATGCAGGCACCTCTATTCCAGTCTCTTGTCCCTTCTACATGAGTGCATAATAAACAGAGGCCCTAGGGTACAGGACCTATATCTGAGCTGAAATCCTCCACAGCAAGGCATTCCCACCTTGTTTCTGGAGTGTGAGAATTTCTTTAAGTTCAACTATGCATTCTTTTAAAATTATTGTTATGCTTCCACATATTTTTTTCTCTGTAGGCAGAGATAGGAAAGTTCATTTTAATTCATTCAGAACAAGACATCAATTTCGTCAAGGACACCTTTAACGTCACAATATATGTCTAACCCCTCTCAAATAGTAATAGCTGAACTTCTAGTGTTTATGAATTCAGTAAAGATATTAAATGAAGTTGTTTTATTAATCACAGCTATATACATAAAAATATGAGTATGTATATATAAAACATGATTATTCAACCTAATTAGAAAGGAAATTCTTTGTTTATGTATTATTTCCATATTCATTACAATAACCAAAAGATTTCCTTGGTGTCTGTGACCAACCTGTTCGGTGCTAGGAGTCTAACCATCCCTCAAAGTTCTGCTTAACCATTTTGGAGACACTAAGTTTCTTCTTAGTATATGCTCCTTACACAGGACTAGCTACATGAGCCTGTGCTCCTATACATAATTTGGGGGAACTGGTGAAAAATGAAAGTATAGGGCCCTTCTTCACAAATTATTAAGAATTTCAAGATAGTAACAGCAGAGAATTAAGCTGCCTTCTGAGCATGGAGCCCTACTTGGCTGCACAAGTCGCCGGCCCAAGAAGCAGGCTTCGCTTCTATATATACTACCTTGAGATTCAGTAAACCTAGTTCATTCATTTATTCAAGGGGTTTGTATTAATTTCCTATGTTCCAAATGCTATGACAGAAAATGAACCAAAGAAAATAATATTGCGTAATTGAATTACTGCATAAATATTTTATAACCATTTTACTAATTCAATTAAAATTAGGACTCTATTGATTTTAAAAGCAAAATTCATATAATTTCAAAAATGCAATTCAAATATTCAATTTGTAGTCTTCTCTAATAAGAATCTTTCATTAATAGATGCTTAGGAAATTCTGAATTCTGTGTAAAGATTCCATGATTTGTCATGCAACACATGATAAGTAATTCCTAAAGTGGTGTAGAGTTTCAGAGCTATGACTCAGAGTTAAGAACAGAACAAAAGAGAGACAGCCAGCAAGGTCTTTCCTGAAAGGAGAACCAGGTGGCAGGAGCAATGCTGGATGCATAGATTTTAAGGATGTCGTGGAAGCTCTTATTCTTTTTTCTCTCTCTTTTTTTTTTTCAGTTGAACCACATGGGGAACACAAGAAAGAGATAGTTTCTGTGCTCCAGCATTTTCATCAGCAAGAACAGCTGGAACCTAAATATAGCTAAGGCTCTTAAAACAGCATTTAGCGTGATTAAGACTCTCAACATGGGAAGCAACCAGAGTAATGCTAAATGTGGATGTCCCACACCTCAAAGCTTCAGGAGGAACCAGAGTCAGCAAACAGAAATGTTAGAAACCCACAACACAAATAGGCTCCCAGGTATTATAAGGATAGAAACAAAGAAAAGTGACCTCAAAATAGAGACAATCAACATTATTCTCTGAGTCCCAGCATCCTAGCCTCTGAGTCAAACAAACTTGAGTTTGGAATCCTGGCTCCCCACTAACTAGGTCTACAACTTTGAGCAAGTTGCTTTAATTCTCTCAGCCTCAGTTTTCTCACATACTTTGTGGGAGGACTGAGTGAGACAACCCACGTAAAGTTCTCAGTTATATGTCAGCTAGATCACAAGTTCTCAGTACCAGCTGAAGCAGAAAGATTCTTTTGGGAATCCCCAACCAACTGCGGGTGAGCAATACAACGAAAAAACAGCTTAGGAATGAGGTCAGTTTGGCTTTTTCCAAGTATTTTCTCTAATTCAGTGTTTCCCAAACTTGTCTGCACATTAGAATCCCATAAGGGAGCTTCAGAAATTCCAGATGCCTGTGTCTTTCTCCCTGAGATTGTGATTTAACTACTCTAGGGTGTGGATTGAGTTTGGAATATTTAAAAGAATGCCTGGTTGGTTCTAATGCACAGAGAAGTCTGGGAACCTTGTTCTAAATTTAAAAGAATGCCTGGTTGGTTCTAATGCACAGAGAAGTCTGGGAACCTTGTTCTAAATTGTTCTATGAGGTGGTGAAACCCATGAAATCTCACTGAGACTCAGTTTCCTTATATATGACATATGCAGAGGCAGAGAGGGGCACAGAACAAGGGTTCTGCTTGGTTACCAGCACCAGATTGGAAACTAATTGAGTATGAATAAACTTTTAGTCACTGACTAGCTCTGCAGTATTAGGCAATTTAATTTCTCTGCTCTTCCGTTTTTTTCATTTATAATTAAGGCACCTATAACTATACACCTCGGAAGATTATTATAAAAACTAAATGCGATAACACAGAAAGTACATGAAGTACAGTGACTAGAACATGCTTGAACTTCTAAAGAATGTTAGCCACTACTATTATTATCTTTATTTGTAACTCACAAGCATTTCAAACATTAATTATTGAATTGCCCATTTTGTGCTCCCATTTCCATATTGACTTACTGACTTCAACACTGATTTTATAAAAAGACCCTCCCCAAACTCTCACCATCTGAACGTGGAGTTATTCTATGGAGTTATTCCACTCTTGGCTGCTCAAAACTTCTGAGAAAACTAACAGCATCAAAAATTAACACAACACTCTATGATCCTAGTTCAGCTCTTTATACCAAAAGCAAATAAACCTCAAAGGAAATGAATAAGGAAGAAATGACACATCAAAAATTCCTGAGATCAGCAAATAAACAGCATGTACACTGTGACAGCATATCCTTGATCTTACCAGAAATCTACAGTTCAAGAAAGGAAATAATATTTGTCCTAAGCAAACTCAAGATATTCTACATTATAGTAAATTAATTTTTTTAGAGGGAAAAAGAATAGAAAACAGAAACTAGAGAAGAAAAACGTCAAGGAGCACATTAAATTTTTTCAAAATTGCCATTCAGAAATAGCATCTGTTCTATCAAATAATATGCACAATAGTTAACAGGAAAGAGAATATAAGAATCAAGGCCACTGTCGCTTGTTTGTTTATTTATTTATTTAGCATGGAAGGCAGCAATGGCTCACACGGTGAGGAACAGGGAAGAGGCACAGGACTGAAAATAAAAATCAGGAGTCTGGAGGAGTTAAAAAAAAAGAGAAAATAAAAGCACACAGACCTCTGTACTTCAAAAATAGCATGCATTTCAGTCCACTCTTTATAAGTGTTTCCCCCCCTCTCTTAGCCTTTTCTTACTTTTCTTTTCCCTACCCATGCCTTGTCAAGGGCATGGTATCATGAACCTTTCAACTAATATGATTAAACTGAAATAATGATGGTTGAGAAGTAGCAGAAAGAGATTGGAAGGGTTAAAACAAAAGTCAGTCAGATGACGAGGATGGAGTGCGGCAGCTGAGCCTGGTCAGGGATCACTGCAACTCTCTTTCACTCTGACTGCCACCAATTAGCTCAGTCTATTCAGGGACCATATGCTTTAAACTCAAAGACCAGGACTGAGGGAATGAACTCATGATGTTATTATCATGCACACATCACTTTTACATTAACATTTGAAAACCCAGCGGCATAGAACACTAAAAAGGATCACACTGAGAAACTAAATCCGATTTCTCCTTTCAAATTAAAGTTTTACTTCAACATCTATTTTCACTGTGAAGAAAATGGAGTTATTTCGACAATGTTTCTTCCCTTGCACATTTAGATAAATTACAAAGCCGATTCGGGCCAAGGGCAAATGAAAAGTTGATCAAAACAAACAAAAAGACATTCTAAATATGGTTTGAAAGTAAAGAAATGCATTTTACATCAAAGTGATGACAGTGAATTTCAGTAGAAATTACTTTATTCTATCATAGATTCTAATATACTGCAGGTTGGGTCATGTGAATACCATACTACTAAAAGGTCCAATTTGTTATAGACAAAGGCCAAAAGAAAGAAGTTTGAAGAGCCCCCTGTAACTGGCATAGTGCTATAGGATGAGGCTAGTGATATTGGGTTCATTAAGGGACTCGGTATATGTAAGGTCCAAGCATTGTTTGGAATTGATAACAGAGATGCCTTTCTCAGTTTTACATGCTCAGATTTTAACAGAGATCTGTCAAATTAACTTACTGACAAATACTAACCAGTTAAGTAAAATCAGGCACAGAGGTAGTGGTACTTGCTACAATGGTCAGATAAAAGATAATGGAGATTAACAATATTAATGATCACCAAATACTTACTATATGCTATGGACTGACTTAAGTGCTTTACATGCATTAATTTTAATCTTCACAATATCCTCTAAGAGGCAAAGATCCTGTTATTGCCCTAATTAAGCAGTTGAGAGTACTGAGACACAGAGAGCTGAAGTATCTTTCCAAAGGTCCCATAGATGGCACATAGTGGAGCTCAAGTTTGAGCTACACCATCAGTTCTGAAGTTCTTGTTCTTACTACCATACCATACTGTAGACCAAGAGGAAGAAGACTGAGCTAAAATTCAGAGATTGAGTTCTTATCCAAAACATTCAAATTGCATGGTGATGGTGTGGGGACCCAAGTATAGAGGATAAACAATGTGATGAGTCGATGATAGAAGTTGATGGGACCAGGGAAATCCTGGGGAAAAAATGAATAGGATATTTTATTTTATTACTTTTTTGTGAGGAAGATTGGCCCCGAGGAAACATCTGTTGCCAATCTTCCTCCTTTTGCTTGAGGACGATTGTCACTGAGCTAACATCTATGCCCATCGTCCTCTGTTTTGTATATGGGATGCCTCCACAGAGGCCTTGATGAGCACAGTGCATAGGTCCCTGCCAGGGATCTGAACCTGCAAACCCCACGCTGCTGAAGTGCAGTGCGGGAATTTAACCACTACACCACTGGGCCAGTCTCAGGAATAGGCTATTTTTAAAAGACCTCATGTTTCACTGAAGTCATGAGTACACAGCAGAAGGCGATGTTATCTGTTAGTGTTGAGAGTGTAACTCCACCAGGAGGAATGCCTTCTGACAACAGAAGGCAAACTGAAATCATTTCATGGGCAATCATCATAGAAATTAAGGTGATTACACCAGGAAAAGAGTCTACAACATTTCCTTGAACAATGTGTGATCAAGAAGAAATTAAAACCACACACAAAAAATTTCCAGAAAAAACTTATTTGAGCAGCCTTACCATATTAGGTTACACTAGATTATCATTACTATTCACTTCAGTACCAAGCACCATGACTAAAAATGCTCTAAATTAAAAACTATAATAACAATAATCAGGATGTAGGGTCACCAATCATCCTGGTTCACCTAGAATTTTCCTTATGTTAATGCTGAAAATCCTGCATCCTGGAAAACCCCTTTGTCTCCAGACAAACTGGGATGGTTTTCCCAAGATTGTCTCGGTTTTAAAACTGGATGTCTTGCTCCTGGAGAGCTCTGTCAGTCCTGGGAAAACCAGATGGCTGGGTATCTTATCAGGATAAAACATTACATTAAAATCCCATCATAATTATTATGAATTGGACCTCAAATGGGAACTTACATGGTTAAGAATTATTGATAGAAAGTTATTTAAAATGAGAAAGAAGTAAATTTGGAAACATTAAATTATAAAACCATGTATCATAGACTTAAAACATTGTACAACAAAAAGAAATAGATGTTAGAGCTATCAAAAGATCTCATAAGTAGTATCATCCAATGCTAATTCACACCAGCTTTCTTATTGACATGTTACTTTCAATAATGTTATAGTTATCACGAATGTTTGTCAAAATAACAACAAATATTGAAAATTAGCGTTAGTCGTAATAAAAGCAATAATAAGGGAAATAAAATATTGCACATCTTAATAATCTAGGCAAAAGACATTATATGATAATTGAATAAAAGATATCTAAAATCAGCCCAGAGATGTGTTGGGTTTATCCTTTTGTATAATTATTTTAAGATCTAGGTATCAAATACTTTTAAACACGTGTTCAACAGGAAAATTTACAAAATGGTACTACTTAATCATTTCACATTGTTTTTAAGTTACCCAAAAGATTTGCACATGAAGTCAACACTGCAGATTTATGTACTGTTGTCTGTGCAAGAAAATCCCTGAACATTGAGTAGTCTAATGTTAGCCTACATCTGGGTATCAATGAACTGTGGAGAGAACATAAAATGTTCTGGATGAAGTGTGTTAAATCACATATCATTTAGTTGGATCTCCATTAAAAAGCAATCATGTTCAAAACAACTAGTGAAGTAAGAAGAAATACAAGAGAACAGACAAAACTTTCCAACCCTGTCCTCATAGGGCCAAATAATGCCACTTAAATGATCATGAGACACAGAGCTGGAAAGCCTTGTTCCCAGTGCTTATCTAGCACCCACCCCTCCTTTTTTTTTTAAAGACATTTTGAATTTTAAGCAAAATGCTGCACTATATTCAAACACAGTACCCCTTCACTTAAAAAGAAAAAGCACTTTACTTATCATTTAAACCCAGAGCATGACAGAATATGCACAAAAACGTATTTTCTTGAAAACATTCTAAAATCAGTTGTAAAAGCTTTTTCTTTGTTTTGAAATGCTGTGATTCAAGCCATGAGTATTTGCTAAAGTAATTGTCTTTGATAAGTTGTGTTAATAGCCAAAATGCGGCAGAGACACAGGGGAGAGAAGTAGCCAGATTAGTCTCAAAGCAGCATTCCTCCAAACTCCCACCTAATCAAGGAGACTCCTAGAAAACAAGCAATGAACCATGGCTATGTCCAAGGGGAATTTCTGGAAGGAACAAGTGGCTGTGGTTCATTCTAAAATGCAGAATGTAGAGCACAAAATTATGACCACTCTGCAGAAAAATGAAGAGACTTCTGGCATTCAAAAATGCTATGGATCCTGTTAAGAGTTCTAGGAAGCAGAGACATACAGTTTGCAGGTGGCTTGCTGATGAATGATAAGGACACAATGAAAGTGAACAGTCCAAGTGAAAAGACAGAGTTAAAGAGGAAATGGAAAGTGAAGGGTCAGAGTAAAATGTATTTGATACCTAGGATTAAAATAATACATTGCCTGCAAGTGGTAGGGGGTCTACCATGAAGACAAGGACGTCGGGCAGGAGTCTCACCTCCATCAAGAGCACTTAAAACAACATGCATGAGATCCTATGATGTTCAGGAGTTAAAGAAAGCATTCAGATAAACAGTAGGAACCCAATCAATTGAGGACCACAGGCAAAAGGGAGCGGATTCCTGGGGGAGAAGGTACTCAATTGTTCTCAAGAGTAAACATCAGGTAAGAAAACAGTTAATAGTCACTTTTCCCCACACGGAGCACAGTTAATCAACCAAATGACTATATTTTAAAGCATGCTGGTAACTGTGGTAGCACAGATATCACCAAGTTTTGGTCCAATGAGACTAACAATTGGAATATATCTTCTTTATGTGAAAACGTCCAGTAGGAAAAGCAAGGGAGTAACACCAATTGACAAGAGTGTTGACCTGTAGAGAAATTCACAAACCCAAGGGAGATTGGAATAGTGGGAAATACTTGAATGAGAAAGAAAGATGGAAAAAGCAAGGTATGTGACATATGAAAATGTATTTCATTTGGGTTTATTGAGCACTAACCAAAAGCAAAGTGCAGGACTAGGATGTACAGGAGATATGAGATGAATAATCACATGAAGGAATAAGTTTTCTTCACTGAAATTATAAAACATTCAAGAAAGACAAAATGTGTTAGTGACGGGTTCCCTAAATTACCTGAAATAATTTAGGAGTTGTTATGTAATTTTTCTTGGCCTCAGTTTCTTCATCAGTAAAGCAGGGATAATAGTAGCATGTGTTTCACAGATTTGTTGAAGGCAATTAATTGAGATAATACACGTAGATAGTTAAATGGAGCCTAGAGCAGAATTAACATTGGCATATGTTATTAGTGGTGGTGGTGTTAACATTATCATCGTAATCTACAGACGGAAGTAAATTTTATTCTACTGAAACAGTGTTCTAAACACATTGCTTCATTTGCTTTCCTGACAGCTTAATCAATAAAAAGCTGAGGGAAAGTAGCATTATTTTTGGCATCAATTTGAATTCTTTCAGATGTAACCAAAAAAGAAAAGTTAATATGTTGGCATCAAGAACTTCAGATTTTGATAATGAATGATAATCATCATAGATTTTATACACACTAAGGAAAGAAATAGATACACAAGTCTCTGTAGTTAAGCACATTTTAAAACTGTACACTGCAGGAGGCTGGCCCCGGGGCCAAGTGGTTACATTCACGCACTCTGCTTCAGCGGCCAGGAGTTTCGTCAGTTTGGATCCTGGGCATGGACAGGGCATGACGCATCAGGCCACGCTTGGTGGTGTCTCACATAGCATAACCAGAGGCACTCACAACTAGAATCTACAACTGTGTACTGGGGGGCTGTGGGGAGAAGAATAAAAAAAAAGAAGATTGGCAACAGTTGTTAGCTCAGGTGCCAATCTTTGAAAAAAAAAAAAAGCACGCTGCAGTGATGGATATGGTCATTATTGGCTCTGTCATATCAAAGATAGTTATAATAGATATGATCAAGCATGATCCTATGGATAGAGACTCTAAATTCTAACATCTTTTTATCTCTCATTTCAACAATGACTTACCATTTCTGTAGCGGTCTAGAGAGTTTACGGGCTCTCACAATAAAATACCGGCAAAATAATTATAAAAGATCCCTTCGTAGAATATGTAAATGAGCCAGAAGGGGGAGCACATAGCAAAGTTATTACAAAAAGTAGCTAAAAAACCTGTAAGGATGTCAATATGACTGATGTAAATAATGAATGGAAGTTTCTAAATATATAAATAACAGGAAAAACATTCCATTTGGCTATGAACCAAGCAAAAAAAAGAATACGTACAAACAGGCTCATTGTTAGAAGCAAATGGCATGCTATTCCTAGAAAACGCTGCCTTCCTTTCATCAGGACTGATAGCATCACACACCTGTTTTAACATCTCAAGTGGCTTTTTAACTAGTACACGCTAAGTTTAGAACATCTTAACACGGCACCCAATGTCTTTATCTGCCTGTCTCCAGTCTACTATTCCAGCCAAATTTTCTATCATTCTCCTTTAATTCAAGGTGTACCCTAAATCCTAGTCTCATCAGACCAGAGGGGATTCAAGCCCAGTATATCATTTTGCACCATATGAAAGTGTAGGCAGTAAGCTATTTTGACCCACAAAATGACAATTTCATGTGGTTCAACCTAATACACGACATAAAAAAGGGTAACCCACGGCTTCATGTTAAACTTTCTGCAAATCTAGGATAATTACATCCCAGGATAGTTAGGGAACCTGAATAGGAAACTAAATGATTTTGGTTAAAAAAATGGCTAACTTTTATTAGCGTGTACTGTTTTAGGAATTGAGCTTTTGCTGAATGTATTCCATTTGCTCCTTCAGTACCTCTCTCTGAGCTTTTCCACCCTTTTCTGTGATGGGGAGACTAATCTACACTCACTACTTTAACTGACTTCCTTGTCCTCTGGTTTCTAATTGGATTTAGCAGTTGGGGATCCCTGGCAGCAGATCAGACAGTGGCAAGAGCAGGAGGCTGGGTATTTGGTCTCCTGCTCCCTCCATGCAGGGTTGCCTGAGGCTTCGCTATGGGTCCCCACTAATGGTCACTGCTCTCCTC